CCGGCGCCGGCGCACGCGCTGCTACTGCCGACTGCCACCTCAGCGCCAGCGGCGGCGGCGGCGCCCCCGTCTCAGCAGCTGCCTATGGCCGGTCGACTTCTGACCCTCATGCCTGCGGCCGCCGTGGCCGCGTGGGCGGGCGCCACGGCTGCCGCCCCGGCGCTCGCGGCGGCGGGCGGCGGGGGCGGAACGCTCATGCTGCGGCCCGTGGGGCCGGGGGTGACGGGGCCGGCGGCCAGGCCGCAGGGGCTTGTCTTGCTAGCGCCGCAATCCGGGGGTGGGGGCATTGTAGGCCAGTCGCTCGTCCTGCAGCCGCAGCAGCAGCAGCAGCAGCAGCAGCAGCAGCAGCAGCAGCAGCAGCAGCAGCAGCAGCAGCAGCAGCAGCAGCAGCAGCAGCAGCAGCAGCAGCAGCAGCAGCAGCAGCAGCAGTTCCAGCCCGTGGGCGGGCAGCTGCAGCTGGCGCTCATGGGCGCACCCAACCAGCAACAGGGCGGCGGCGCCGGCATGATGGGCGCGCCGCCGCGACCGCTGTCGGTGCATGCACATGCTCAGGGGCAGCAGCAACAGCAGCAGCAGCAGCAGCAGCAACACCACATGCAGCAGCAGCAGCTGGCAAGTGGCGCCGCGGGATACATGACGGCAGGTCACCGGCCATTCGCTCCGGTCAGCTATCCCACTCAGCAGGCGCCCGCCTACTCGCAGCAGCAGCTTCTTCAGCTGCAGCTTCTTCAGCAGCAGCTTCTGCAGCAGCAGCTACTGCAGCAGCAGCAGCAGCAGCAGCAGCAGCAACTGCTGCAGCAGCCGGCGCCACCCTGGCGACAGTGAAGCACATCTCGCGTCAGATCTCACCTCTCATCTTGCCCCGAAGCACAGTTTATAATGCCTGGCTGCGATGTAACGAGAGGATGTATGTTTGCACAGCGCCGACACACATGCCCTTGTTGAGGTGTTGCAGGTGCACTCACGACCATCGGGCAGAAGATAAGGGGGGACATGCAGGAGGGGCAGTGCTGGCTGGCAGGGCAGGCCAATGGAAGTCGTGCGTAAGCAAAACGTTTGCATGCTGGTGAGGTTGGTGCATGGTGCTGCGCGTGCTGGGCGCGCTAGCATGCACCCGGGCAGCACACACGCGTAGCTCAGCACCGCCGGTGGGGTGGTGTCAAGCTTCCAGTCAGTCATATGTGAAATCACTATTGAAGTTTCATACACAACGAATGTATCTGTCCTCGGCCACCCGTTGCGCAGCACAGATCGTCAAGCTGACGATCCCACCGTCCCGTCTTGTGAAACGCTGTACGTCTGGGAGCCGTGCAATGAGTGGAATGCTGCTCACCTGCGGCGAAGTGGCAAGGCAGCGGCACGCCCGGACCCGAGCCGCAGCTGCGCCCGCGAGCCCGACCGGCGCCGCGGCTGGTTCGGCTGCCAACCCGCCATCAAGCGCAAAGCGGCGCGCGGGCGCCGCGCCCTCGTCGCCGCAGGGCGCGCGGCGGCAGGCGGTGCCGAAGCCGCGGCCGCAAGGCGCGTCGGCGGGCGACGACGGGCGGCCGAGGTGCGTCAGCGTTGCGGGCGCGGGGTGGACCCGCCCGGCAGCAGCAGGACACATCCCTGACAGCACTAGCAGCGCTGCAGCCGCATCTGCGGCCACGCTGACGCGCTGTGCAGCGCCCGCCAGCAGACGCCGTCCGCCAAGCCTCTCGCCAGCCGGGCTGCGCGCCGCATCCCCCCCCTCCCCTTGTGCTTCCGGCGGCCGCCCGGCGCGACGCAGCCCCTGCCATCCACCCCGTTCGGTTTGAACATTCAAATCGTTCCCACAGGTGTCCCTGGAGCAATGCCTTCACAGGTGCTGCGGCTGAGGCCTATGTCGCGTGAGCCTCTGCCCCCCCCCCCAAAAACCCTGACCCGCCAGCCACCGCCCAGCCGAGACGGCCAGGCAGCTAGGCGTCACTTTTGCAGGCGCCTGCCTCCGTGCCGCCCCCTGCCTGTCTTGCACTAGCGCCCACCACCGGCGAGGGAATCGCGCCGCGCGCGTCGTCCCCTCACCCTCGCTCGCCGCGCCCCACCTATGAACCCCTTCCCGAAAAACCTCCCGTCGGCAGGTACCACGACACCGAGTGGGGCCGCCCGACGCGTGACGATTGGGAGCTTTTTGAGCTGATCGTGCTGGAGGGGGCGCAGGCCGGGCTCAGCTGGTGGGGGCCCTTTTTCCCACCATTTTCCCACTTTGTCCCACTTGTTGCCACTTGTCGCCACCTTTTGCCACTGTTTGCCACTGTTTTTTATGCTTTGCAGGCGCCCGTTGGCGCTGGGTGAGTGATCCACAGTTTTTACGGAGCCATGGGGGCGTGGGCGCGTGTGTTTGACTTTCCGTGGGTGGTGTGCGTCCGTGTGTGAGTACGTGCGTGCGCGTACGGAATGTGATGCAGCAGAGCGCGGCGCAAACAGGGGCGCCCGCGTTTTCTGCTTCAGCGAGCATCACCACCATTTCTCATGCCGCCGCCCCCCGTTCCACCGCTTCCAAACGGCGGTTTTCGGCACTGCGCAGGTCGACAATCCTCAAGAAGCGGGACGCCTACAGGGCCGCCTTTGAGGGGTTTGACCCGGTCAAAGTTGCGGCCTTTGGGGAGGACAAGGTGCGAGGAAGGTGGCGTGGAGTGGGGGGAACTAGGTGGGGTGAGCTCAGGTGTGTGTGTTTTTTTGACGGGGGGAAGGAGGCTGCATGGGGTGGGTGACTGCGCTGTGGGGCGGGTCAGTCTGCCCCTGTGTTTTGGTCGATTTTGCGCACGCGTGAGTTCTTACATGGCGCGGTTTGGTGGCCGTGGGTGCAGTGAAGCGAGGGGGCGCGGGGCCCTGTTGACACTTGGCTGCACGTCGGCGCCGGCGCCGCGCTTCACAGTATCCTTTTCTACAAGGCGTCCCGCCCCCCCCCCCCC